ATAATATATTTGTTTCCACGTTGAGATGTTGGAGTAATAGGTCCATGGAAATCCATTGATACTAATTGCCATACTCCTTCTGGAGGTTTGATAGGTCGTAAGGTACCAGGATTTTTTTGTCGACGAGGGTTGAATTGTGCACATGGAATACATGATTTAATATAATTATTAATATCTTTGTACATTGATGGCCAAAAATAACGTTGTTTAATTTTATGTATTGTTTTATCTCTTCCGAAATGAGCACCAGTTGCTGCAGTATCATGATAAATTTGTAAAATTGTTTTTCGGAAATCACCTTGTGGTACGTAAGGAACTGGTGGATTCAGTCGACGCATTAATAGATTATCTTTAGTCATATAATTTTTATATTTCTTGATGTTGTTTAGAATATTTTTTGAGTAATCATCATTTTGTTGAGCTTGAATTAATTCTTCAATTGAAAATGGAGTTGTGCGATTCTCTTCAATAGAAGTATTCAGAGAATCTGATGGTAATTTTGTATTTGAAATGTCATTTAAAGTTTTGTTTCGTAATTTCATAGCACGTGTTTCAACGGCTGCGACAATAGATGAATGATTAGTAATATTTGAAGTATCGGTTTGTGTTGATTTTGAAATAAGATGCGTAGTTTCATCAGGATCTTCTTCAGCATCTTTAACTGGAGATCTTGATAAATAATCAGGCATTAAATTAATTGAACCAGGAATGTATTTCACCTTAAAATCATATTCTAAGATTTTTAATCTCCATCTTTCACATCGTTTATTAACTTGTGCTTTTTTATTTAATTGTGTTAATGCTTTATGATCAGTTTCCCAAATAAATGTAATTCCACTTAAATAATTGTGCCATTTATCTAATGCACATATAAATGCATAACATTCTTGTTCCATAGGAGACCATTTACGTTGTGCTTGTGTAAATTTCTTGGAAAGATATGCAATCGGTCTATCACCTTCGGGATAAATTTGTAATAAAACTGCAGCGATTCCCTCATCCGAAGCATCAGTTTGTACTTTAAAAGAGAATCTATTATTTGGAAGTCGTAATACCAGATCAGTTGTAAGAAATTTTTTAAGTTGTTCGAAGGCTTTAATTTCTTCACTTGTTAATGTAATAATAGTTTTTTGTCTTTTCTTTTTTTGAGTTCGTGTAGTTGGAACAAATTTTCGAAGTGGTTCGGCGATTTGAGAAAAATTAGGTATAAATTTTCTGTAATATTCCGCTGCTTTAACAAATTTACAAGCTTCATCTGCCGTTTGTGGTAATCTTGTATTTAGTAAACCATGTATATTGGTAGGACTTGGACGAATTTCACCATTTTGTATACGATGTCCAACATAATTAGTTTGTGTTCGAGCAATTTCACATTTTTCTGGATTGAGACGAAAACGAGCTTCTTTTAATATTTGACAAATTTCATTGAGATGTGATAAATGTTCTTCGAATGTTTTTGAGTATATAATTACATCATCAATATATGCTAATGCATATTTCCATCGTGTAGGACCTAATATATGGTTAATAACACGTTGAAATGTTGCTGGACCATTTGTTATTCCTTGTGGAAGAACTGTAAATTGATAATGATTATCACGAGTTGAGAATGCAGTTTTAGGTCGGTCCTCTTTAGATAGAGGTACCTGGAAATAACCAGATTTAAAATCGAATTTTGTGTAATATGTTGCATCAGATAATTGATCAAAAATTTCATCAATACGAGGTAATGGAAATGCATCTTTAATTGTAATAGCGTTTAATTGTCAATAATCAATACAAAATCGCATAGTTTTGTCTTTTTTTTTAACAAGAACGATCGGTGATGACCATGGTGAAGTTGATTCTTCAATTTGACCACGTTCTAATAATTTTTGTGTTTCTTGAAATTTAATTTCTTGATCTTTAGATGATGCTGGATATTGTTCTGAATAGATAGGTGGATGATCAGCAGTTTTAATTGCTGATTGTGGAGGAATATTAATAATTGATGGTGTAGGATCAAATAATATTTTATTTCGCCATAAAATATCTTGAATTTCTAATCGATGTTTTGGATTTTCTATATGTTTAGTCGATTCGAGTATTTGTTGTCGAATCTGTTCTGAATAACATTTTCCTCGTAAGTGTTTTTGTAAATCATTTCCAGATAAAAAATGTTCATCGCAATGATGACAAATAATATTTAATTTTTCTTGATTCGAGTTGTCCTTTTTACATAAGACAGCTCTGAATTTCAATTTATTGTAATGTCGAGTTGATGTTTGATGATGTTCATTTAAAATAGAATTATTTTTTGTTGGAATTTGTGTAGTTGCATATATAGTATATGTTGCATCACGGGAGATGGTTCCGATTCGTGTATTTTTTGATAATGTTTGTTGTCGATTTTGTGCATTTATTAGTAATACTTTGGCTTGATTTTTATTGATATTTAATAATGTGTATGTGGCATGAAAATAAATTTTGATATATGACGTTCATAAGGTTCAAATATAAGATTGTGTGCATTGTTAATTTGACATG